CTCTCTCTCTCTCTCTCTCTCTCTATTTATCTCTCTCTCTCTCTATCTATCTATCTATCTATCTATCTTTCTCTCGCGGGTGGGCTTGGTGCATGATTTGCCACCATCGCCCTCTGCTGCCTCTGTTGCTATTGTCTGGATGCTGCCAGGTTGCTCTGTACCTTCCACTCCACCCTGAACTCTCTCTCTCTCTCTCTCTCTCTCTCTCTCTCTCTCTCTCTCTCTCTCTCTCTCTCTCTCTCTCTTTTTTGTTTGCCTTGTTGTACCCGATCTCTACGCAGTAACACCACAACCTGGAAACTATGCTTTCAAACGTCCCTTTTTATCTCAGGGAGGAGGAGCGCAATTTTGAATACTGCCTATCTCTGTGTGCGCATGGCTTTGGATATTTCTTCTGTGTGCCGGCGCATTTTTTTTTTTATTTCCCCTCTTTGCGCGCTCGTTTCTGTATGTTTTCCATCTCTGAGCGCGCGTTTTTTCTCACTGTTCTCTATTGTCTAATCTTTTCCCTGCAGAACTGTCGCTCCATTTATGACTTGCCGTAGAGCGATTGAAGAGGTTTCTGGGTCTCCGCTGTTTGATCGTCATCTTCGTTTTGGAGTTCTGGCATCCAGCGTCTCTTGGGCGCATTCCCTCTTTTTGAGATTTCCTTCTTTAGACGCATTCCTCTCCTTAGCTCTCTGACTCGCTCTGACACAATCATAAACTACCTCCCTTCCGCTTTTGTGTTCCTTGAACCCTTTTCTCGTCTCCGCTCCCTTCTCGTCTTATCTGTGTCCTGTTCGCTTGTTGATAGGAGATCGGTTGCGGCTTGGGGTCGGGATCGCGGCGAACGATTAGAGGACTTGGATAGGGGTACGTTGAATCATAAACAAGGGGTGGGGAATGCTGTAGACGAACAGCGAATGTCGTCATATTTAACTTACCGTGCCAGCAGTATCTTCTACGTATCTTGCACGTATCTTCTACGTATCTTCTCCGTAAGCTGATATTCGTAATCGAGAACGGTTGATAATATAAGCCCTTTCCCCTTTGAATCCTAGCTTGCATACAAGTCGTCTCTCTCTCTCTCTCTCTCTCTCTCTCTCTCTCTCTCTCTCTCTCTCTCTC